AGAACGGGGTCCAGGGCGATGTTGACTACGTTGCCGCCCACTGGCGTGAGGCAAAGAGGGGGGAGGGGAGGGGAGGGGAGGGGAGGGGGAAAATGGAGAGGGAAGGGGAAGGGAGATGCTGAGAGACGGACAGAGGTGCAAAGGCTGCTCCAAACCACTGACGCCCAGCCCGCATGCGAAAATGAGAAGGGGGTTCCGGGCGACATTGACTGTGTTGCCGACCACTGGAGAGGTGGGGGTTCGGGGGGGGGGGGAGATGGAGAGGATTGGGGGTAGAGATGCTAAGATAGAGAGGTGTGACGGCTGGCTGCCCCACTGACGCCAAGGCTGAATGCAAATATGAGGAAGGGCTCCAGGGCGATAAACAGCCCGTTCAGGATGGAACGGGCGATAAACAGCCCGTTCAGGGAAGGTAACAATTTCATCTCCTCATGGAGATGGATGGAAGGGCAGTCCAGTCCGTTCCGCTCACCTCACTTTTGAGTCGACTCACAAGCAAACCCACCCTGAATGCAAACACGAGGAAGGGCTCCAGGGCGATAAGCAGTCCGTTCTGGTAGCCTAGATTTTAATTTACGTCTCCTCACCTAGCTTTTGAGTCTGCAGGCCTCACTCACACCTTCCAATAAAAAGCAAACCCAGCCTGAATGCAAACACAAAGAAGGGCTCCAGGGCGATAAACAGCCCGTTCAGGTAGAAACCTCATCTCCTCACCCTGGGCGATGAGCGGAGTGCGTGTGTCCTTGAAGCCCCGGAACACGCCCTGCGTGGCCAGAGCCAGCACCACTGCAGGTGCAGCAGCAGCAGCAGTTACCAGGCAAATAAACACGTCTGAAGAGGTCTCACTGCCTTACCTTGAGCGATGAGCGGAGTGCGTGTGTCCTTGAAGCCCCGGAACACGCCCTGCGTGGCCAGAGCCAGCACCACTGCAGGCGCACCAAGAGCCCTGAGGGAGAGGTAGTGCAAGGCAGGCCCCCGCATGGGAGAGGACTGACGCACGAGAAAAAAAAGGGGGGGGGGGGGGGAGAGAGAGAGGAAGAGAAACAGTTGGAACGACAATAATGAAAGGTCCAGGAGTTTTTTCCAGGCGAATGGGAGACAAGAAACAATGAAGAGAGGAACAACACAGCGGGAAACACAGCGGCATAAGCGAGTAGTAGCAAGATAAGCCACGCACCGCTGGCACTCCCATGGCGCCAAGGATGGGCGCCGCAGCAGTGGCGAGCACTATGGCCTCGACAATCCCAAGGATGCCCCCCACCAGCAGTGCCGCTGACACTGCAGGCACCACCCGCTTGCCACCCAATTCTGCTGCTGTGGTGGATGCCGATGCTGCCGGATAAATGAATGGGCAGGGAGGGCAGAAAAACGGGCAGGGAGTGGAGAACAGCAAGGGGGGCGAGAACTACAGCATCGACAAATAAGAAACACCGCAGAGCCGCTGGCATCACTCGCTTGCCATCCGATTCTGTTGCCGCAGCTGCTGTGGATGCCGATGCTGCTGGAGGAATCAAGGGGAGAGAGAGAGAGAGGGAAGGGAATGAGGATAAGGTTGGTTTTGAGATGTCTCAATACCAACCTTATATCACGGAGCTGCTGTGGATGCCAATGCTGCTGGAGGAATTAAGGGGGGAGAGAGAGAGTGAGGATAAGAGGGCAGACATAGTGAGAGCTGGATGCCATACTGGTGCTGAGGAGGAGGATGCCAATGCTGCTGGAGGAAAACGCGGCGGAGAGAGAAAAACGGCAGCTCAATTAGGATTGATTGAAGGGCATCAAATGAAGACCAGGTGCAGTGCAGGCACAACTGAAATCCGTGTGTAATGAGTCGATTTTTGAGTCGACTCAAAAATGGGCATCAAATGAAGACCAGGTGCAGTGCAGGCACAACTGAAATCCGTGTGTAATGAGTCGATTTTTGAGTCGACTCAAAAATGGGCATCAAATGAAGACCAGGTGCAGTGCAGGCACAACTGAAATCCGTGTGTAATGAGTCGATTTTTGAGTCGACTCAAAAATGGGCATCAAATGAAGACCAGGTGCAGTGCAGGCACAACTGAAATCCGTGTGTAATGAGTCGATTTTTGAGTCGACTCAAAAATGGGCATCAAATGAAGACCAGGTGCAGTGCAGGCACAACTGAAATCCGTGTGTAATGAGTCGATTTTTGAGTCGACTCAAAAATGGGCATCAAATGAAGACCAGGTGCAGTGCAGGCACAACTGAAATCCGCGTGTAATGAGTCGATTTTTGAGTCGACTCAAAAATGGGCATCAAATGAAGACCAGGTGCAGTGCAGGCACAACTGAAATCCGTGTGTAATGAGTCGATTTTTGAGTCGACTCAAAAATGGGCATCAAATGAAGACCAGGTGCAGTGCACGCACAACTGAAATCCGTGTGTAATGAGTCGATTTTTGAGTCGACTCAAAAATGGGCATCAAATGAAGACCAGGTGCAGTGCAGGCACAACTGAAATCCGTGTGTAATGAGTCGATTTTTGAATCGACTCAAAAATGGGCATCAAATGAAGATCAGGTGCAGTGCAGGCACAACTGAAATTTAGGAAAGGGTTGAAGGGTCGAAGGGTACTGAGCAGGTGACTGACAGTCAGGGTTAGGGACGTCTGGAGGTTCAGGCCTCAACACGAGATGGCTGCTAACGAGAACTGTGCCTGGCGACATTGGGCGGTGAAAACACTGGCAGTGATTGAAAGCGAGCAGTTACCTGCTTTGGCCCTCGCTTCGCCATCCTCAGCGACGAAGGAGGTGGTGATGTTGAGGAGAGGGAAGTTGAAGACCTTAGAGACGAGGTTGAAAACGGAGATGGAGACGCCAATGGCGGCGAGACTCACGGCACCTGCAATAACGGGTAAGTGTAAGAAAGATAGACACAGGGAGAAGTAAGGAAACGAGGTTGAATTGAATGAAGACAGAAATGGAGACGCCAACCGCGGCGAGACTCACGGCACCTGCATACCCGCATAATGCAAGGGGATACGAATGATAACATCAACCAAAGCGAAAAGAAAGAGGGGGCAGCGATCGAACAGCAGTTTTTACACAGATGACGAACCCAGGGAACATTTACCAGTTCTGGCAATAAAGGCGGTTTCCGTGAGCTGAGCGACAGGCTCCGCCAATCCGGCGATGACAGCTGGGATGGCGAGTTTGATGAGCTCCCCGGCGACGCCATTGGGGGAGAACCTTCGCAGCGACCGTCTGAAAAAGGGGAGGTTCAGGCAGAAAGAGACAAGAGTAACAACGAGAGGAAACATGGTGCTGTCAGACGGCTTTTGAGTCGACTCAAAAATCACCAAGAGTAACAACGAGAGGAAGCATAGTGCTGGCAGACGGCTCAAAGATAGGGCGAGCTTGATGACCTCCCCAGCGAAGCCCTTGGGCGAGACCCTTCTCAGCGACCGCCTGTTTGTCGAATAAATAAATAATTTCAGCCGTGAATAACCCGAGATAATGTAGAGAAGTCTTTCGAAAAAAGATTGACGAGACGCGAACAGCAAAATACGTAAACTCCTTAACCTTCCACGAATAAGCACAGGAAATCGCAGTCAAAAGACAGGAGACAGGAAGAAAACACTAGAAGCGGCACGGAGGGATCGCCGGCGACTCACCTGGTTTTCTTCCAGATCGAGGACAGCCCGTCCTGCTGCCGACCCCTAAACTCCTCATGGGGGTAAATCGCCGCTTGAGACCTTATGCACGGAGCACCAGCACTCTTTCTCGCTGATTGCGCTTGCTCTGACCGCTTGCACAGACAAGCAGACCCATCGGTCGGAAGATTCAGGCGATCCTTCCCTTCCCCAGCGAAGAACGACGACTGGCGTAACTGACAAGTTCGCGAAAGAGGGACTGAGGGAACTAGAGCGCTAGACGCGCAGCGAAGTCGCGAGACCGGGACCAAGGAACGGGAAAATGGCGCCGAGCGAATACTGCTGCTGAGATTATTGGTCTGAGGAGAGCTCGCTAGCACTGATCCTGCGGAACAGCTGCCTTGGGAGACCGTTTTCAACAGACCTGCCATGCGCGAAAAGTTTCTTGCTGTTTACCCAACAGGGTTTTTTTTTTTGGTTAATTTATGATTTCTTCTGATATCAAGAACTGCGTTCAAAACGTTACGATGACGCGCTTATCCGAAAGCTTATCACGGCGAGGGGGAGGCTTCAAGACGTTTGCGAGAAAGGCGCCTAGGAGACAGGCGAGCGGCTACAATGAGAAGTGAGCGTGACACACCAGGGAGGTGAAAACACCGGGTAAGCGCGTCAGGAGAAAGTGGAGACAACTTAGCAGCACAGCTGCTATAATAGAGGCTCTTGCGGCCACCCCCTGGCGGCTGCTGGATCACTGATGGCTGCTCCAGAGAGCAAAAGCAGAGTCTAGAATCTAGACTCCAGGCTCTCTGGACTCAAGGCCAAGAAACCCAGCTGTCTGCTGTGTCAGAGAAACCTTGGGAACATATTTCCCCCGTTCGGAACATTTGAATGAATTCGGTCAGCTGGCTCCGCCAATGCATGCTGCGAATGACTGAAGCACATCTACACATTCTTCGCAAGGTTCCCGTGCTCAGCACGCCCATCTGCATGCCCCAGTGCCCTTTTTCCTGACCTTTGGGTGTTTTCCTGCAGATTGTTTCATGTACGGTCAGCAGACGTACTTTCCAGCCAGCCTTCTGGCATGTCTTGACGTCATGACGTGGACGAAACACCGTCAGCGATATTCATCCAGCGAATAGTCGTGCAATTTCGCACGGGCGTCCCATCTGATCGGCCAATTCCCATTTTGGATCTTGCACAGTTCGCTTTCGCCCCGCCGTTACGGCTCTGATGTCGGCGGCGGGCTTAATGAAAAGTTTTCGCTGGTGTTCTAGACGGCCTCTGGACTGGAGCCGAAAAAGGGTGTTGCCCTGGAGATTTTCGAGGTGCAGACCAATCATCCTCGTCTCCAGCAGGACGAGGATGTGGGGCAGGGACGATAGGTCTCCGACAGATAGAGATCGGGCATCGTAAGTGCAGAGACATATTTACAGCTGACCTAACGTCAATATCCGATGAACCCGAACATATTGGTTTTGTTTCTCGGAAATATAGAACCCGTTACCCACAGCTCACAACTACATGACAGTCCAGTTATACGTTAACAGCCACTTACTACAAGCCAATTGCACTTGGTGCTTATTTTGGAGCATGCCTACTACAATTCCAAACCTAGCTTTGGATTACAGCCTAAAAAAACATTTGCCTAATGCTTGACTAACCGTCCAACTACCACTGCACTCACAGCTGGTCCAGAAGGCGTAATACCTGTACACATAAGAGAAAAGAGGTCAGATATTGACCTATGAAACAGAACACATACACGTGAAAGAGCATGTCTCACCTGGCTCATGCTTGGTCGAAGGACAGCCGACTGCCTCACACACTGAGAGGCTGCCACAATAACACGATCCATCTCCTTCACTCCAAAGCAGCCATCCAGGTTCGGGTCAGCCAGCTCCTTCAGCGTGTTGGAGGCGAGAAGTGGCCGAGCCTGATGGTTGCGTATGGGGAGAAGAATAGGCTTGTTTAGCAAGCGGAAGAGTGTAAGAGCACGGAACAAAGACATCACGAGATCAAATCAGCAATCAGCAATCATGTGCTCTACCACATCACTCACCCATTCAACCAGACTGTCCTTCTGTGCCCGCTGCTTGTCACACGGCTTCTTCCCCGTTATGAGCTCCAGCAGGATCACTCCAAACGAGTACACATCCGACTTCTCTGTGAGTTTGCCTGTGAGTGCATACTCGGGCGCCAAATAGCTGCGCAGAGCAAAGAGAGGAGGGGAGCGATGGAGGAATGGAGCAGAGATGGGGAGGGAGGGAGCAGTTAGAGGAAAAGGCTCGACTACTGGTCGAATGCAATGCATGATTGGGTTGGTTATCACTGACAGAAGATTCCTTGCACACTACCCAGGCTATGAAATCTATGCAAGAAACACAAACCACACCGTGTGGACGAGTGGTTGCTCGCTCACCCATAGGTGCCGGCAGACCCAGAGATGGTGGGGATGGCAGCATCTCCTGCAAGCTTAGCTGCTCCGTAGTCACTTAGCTGCAGCAGAGAGGGGTTGAAAGGGGTGAAAAAATAAACATTACAGGATCGAGTCAGAGATCATGTGGGGGAGGGAGATGCAGTTGAAGGTCTTTGTTTACATATAATAATGAGTTTGTGTGCAGTGGAGTTGAAGGTCCTTGATATGCAGTAGAGTCGTTGATCAAGTTAGTGATTGTTCTCACCTTGACCTCGTACTGGGCATCAAGCAGGATGTTAGATGCCTTGAGGTCCTTGTGAATAATGTGGGGAGTGCCTGTAGTAGAGAGACAGAAACAGAAGGATTTCAGGCTTCATGGATGCAGTAGTGTTAGGCAAGCAATAAATAGTATCAAGCGAGATGGAGCAAATAAGGGAGGAGAGAAGGCACTCGCGGCAATATCTAGGGACGCAGCCACTTACACTCTTCGTGGAGAAATGCGAGGGCCCTCGCGGCGCCCTTGGCGATCTTCATGCGGAAATTCCACGCCAGGATTGGCTTGTTATCCCCATGCAGCGCCGCGTCAAGCGACCCGTTCGCGACAAATTCCTGCACCACCATTCGCTGCGAGCTCGCGAGACAGTAACCCAAATAAGCAACCAGGTTTTCGTGCTGAATAACGAAAATCTCCTCCGCATCCTTTTTCCACGCCGCGTCGCTCAGCGAACCCTTCACCTTCAGCACTTTCACCGCAACCTCCTGCCCGTCCTCCAGCACCCCCTTATACGTCGTTCCGAAAGTTCCCGATCCGAGCTTGTTCGAAAGCGCGAAGCGCTCAGTAGCCTGGTCGAGCTCCTCAGGCGGAAACCACCACTGCTCCGACGGATCGATTTCGTCCTCGTCGTTTCCTGCCTTTGCTGCCGCCGCCCCTGCGACCACCCCCGCGCCAACCGCACCAGCTGCGCCCGCTGCAGCAGCGCCCGCGCCAGGAGTAGCAGCTGCTTTCGTCGCTGCCGGAGTCTTTGCTGCCAATGCTTTGGCAGCTGCCGCCCCGACTACCGTTCCTGCGGTAATTCCCGCCGCAGCACCCGCAACCGCACCCGCAGCTGGCGCAGCTCCTCCTGCTGAGCTGGCAGCTGTTGCCGAACCTGCTGCCAAACCGGTGGTCGAACCCGTGCCTGCGGCCGCCGCTGCGCCCCCTGCGGCGTTCGCCAGTGGGCTTGCACCACCCGCGCCCCCAGCGGAACCGGGGGGGGGAGTCAGGGTTCCCCCGGCTTTAGCAGACGGCGGACTTGCGTTGGGTCGAGCGCTCACCGCGCCACCAGCAGTCCCTGCGCCTGCCACGCTAGCAGCGGCCACGTCAGGTACAGCAGGCGCGGACGCTGCACTGTCACCGGGGGCGGATCCTACAGCAGAGCCAGCAACCACTGCTCCTACTCCTGCTCCTACTGCTGCCGCTGCCGCTACTCCTGCCGCATCTGCCGCCGCTCCGGATTCTCCGCCGTCCTGAACTTCCGCGCTTGCCGGACTGCCGGTTGGCTTACCGTGCGTCTTGAAGGGCGCTGCGTAGAACGGAACCTTGCTGGCTGAAGTGGGAGTAAGGGGGATTGGGGCGGGGAGAAGGGGTGGGCGAGGGGGCGGGGGAGGATGGGGGGCGGGGGAGGATGTGGGGGGGGAAGGATTGTGGGGGGGGGAAGGGGGAGAGAGGGGCGCTGAGAGGCGAAATGTACATGCATGTGAAGGAAATGCACATGCATGCATTCCTATGCATAGGAAGGAAAATGCGAATGCGAGACAGAAGGTAGTAGAGGCCATAGCCTGAAACACCGTGCATCACACACCATACCATACCACACGCAGCGTGCTCACCTTTGGTCGAACCGCCTGCTTTGCCGCCCTTCTTCTCGTCGCCTCTCTTATTGTCCTTCTTCTGCCTCAGCAGGAAAAACAAGTAAAACCCCAGCACCACCAGCCCCACGAACCCCAGCGTCACTCCCACCGCAATCCCCGCAACCGCTCCCGCCGACATTCCGCTTCCGCTGGAGGTCGCAGCCGCGGACGAATTCGCGGGGACGCTCGGCGCAAAGGGGTCAAGAGCAGAGTACGCGGGGGTGGAGGGTTTCGGCGGGGGGAAGGAGGGCTGCGCAGTGACCGGCGGGGGACCGAGGCCGGCGCCGTGACGGTTTTGTTCGGTGGCGTAACAGCAGGGGCGCGAACAGAGCCGGGCGCAAAGCCAGGTGCTTTTCCAGGAGCTTTCGCGGAGCCAGGGGCGGATACAGGAGCCTTGGCGGAGCCCGGCGCAGAGAGGGAACCGGGGGCGGACAGGCTAGGGTGGGGGCGGGACGGCAGAGAGGATGGCGCAGAGGCGGAAGCTGGAGCAGCGGCGGAACTAGGCGCAGCGGCGGAACCAGGCGCAGAGGCGGAACCAGGCGCAGCGGTGGAGCTAGGAGCAGGTTTGACGATTGGCGGAATCTTAGGCACGCCAGGCGCGGCTTTCGAACCAGGAGCAAGAGGGGGGACCTTAGGCCCGGGGAAGCCAGGCGCGGCCTTCGAACCCGGGGCCACAGGCGTCTTAGGCCAGGGGAAGCCAGGCGCGGCCTTCGAACCGGGAGCAACAGGCGTCTTAGGCCAGGGGAAGCCAGGCGCGGCCTTCGAACCGGGAGCAACAGGCGTCTTAGGCCAGGGGAAGCCAGGGGCGGCTTTCGAACCGGGAGCAACAGGCGTCTTAGGCCAGGGGAAGCCAGGGGCGGCTTTCGAACCGGGAGCAACAGGGGGGACCTTAGGTCCGGGAAACCCAGGCGCGGCTTTCGAACCGGGGGCCCCCGGGGGAATCTTGGCCCCGGGAAAGCCAGGCGCGGCTTTTGAGCCGGGAGCTACCGGCCATGTCTTCGGATTCGGCACGCCAGGGGGAACTTTTCCGCCAGGGGTTACAGGCGGGGTCTTGGGCGCAGAAGTTGAGCCCGGCGCCTTGGGCGTCGGAAAGCTGGGGACGGCGGGGGTCTTCGGCTCGGGGACGGCAGGTGTTTTTGGCGTGGGGACGACGGGAGTCTTTGGCGTGGGGACGACGGGAGTCTTTGGCGTGGGGACGACGGGAGTCTTCGGCGTGGGGACGGCGGGGCCCGAGGGCACAGGGACAGTGGGCGCGACCGGAGTCCCCGGCTGGGGTTGCGGGGTGGTGGGCGCAGACGGCACTCCCGGCGTGACCGGCTCAGAGGGCACGGCAGGCGTGGTCGGGGCGACCGGCACGGAGGGCGTCTGCGGCACAGACGGGGTTGTCGGCACGGCGGGCGTGGGTTTGAAGCCATTTCCGCCGCCGGGGAAGAGGCCGCCCCCGCCGCTGGCGACGGGCGGATCGACTGCGGGGGAGGGCATGCCGGGGAAGAGCTGCTTCTCCGTGCGACCTCCGCCGGGCGCCTGCTGCCCTGTCGCATCCGGGTTCGGCTGCGGCTGCGGCTCCGGCTGTGGCTGCGGCTGTGGCTGCGGTTCGGTAACAGGCTGCGGCTGTGTCACTGCCGGCTGCGTCGTCACTACCGGCTCCGTCACGACCGGCTGCGTCACTACCGGCTGCTGCGGCTGCTGTTGGTTCTTTTGCGCTTGCTCGCGAGCAGCGGCCTCAATTGCCTCATCCAGCGTCATTTGCGCCACCGCGATTCCTGGAGACGCGTCATTGCCTCCTGAGAGCGACTCCGTCGCGAGCTTTCTGCCTTCGTCCCTCGAGCCGCGGATGGGGACCTGGGGAAAGAGAAGCGAGTGCGGCTCGGGGTGCACTATGGCGGTGCGACGAAGACCCCGCCTAAACTTCATGCTTCGGATAGATTAGAGCGTTAATTGCTGGGGAAAAGTTGAGGTCCGAAGAGGCCGGTTTTTCTCTTCTAAGCGCGGAAGGCGCGCATATGGAGGGGTACGTGAGTCAGGAATGTCGTCGCGAGTGAATGATACAGGCGCTGCTAATGGCTACCAGCCTACAACACATGGAAACGATTGAAGACCTGAAACTGTGTTTCAAGTTTTGAGCTCTTGGGACGACCGCTAGTTTTGCGAGTGCGAGCATCGACGAGGATAGCCCGCTGGTAGTATGGCAGGATGGCAGGATGGCTGGGTAGTGCCTGTGCCTTGGCACGGTGGCCAGTGATGGTGAGTTGACGCAAGGAATCCCTTGCTTCTGGGCTGGTCTGGACTCTCAGACGGAATCGTACGTTTTGACACGCAAGCACAATGCTGCCGCACTCATCGGGCGCTTCGAGAACCGACAGGCACTGTTGCCCCTCGGCATGGGACGGACTCACGGCCGAGGTATTACTTGCGAGCCGCGGCGTGGGTGAGAGAGAGGCATCTCTCAGCTATGTACAATCGAGGGGAGAGAGAGCGGGGTTTGCGGGAGAGAGGGCGCACGAGAACATCGGGAGAGGGAAGCAGTGCCCACTACCAATCGTTTTTTGAGGTGCAATTCCACGGCCAATGGCAGTGGTGGGCTGGGGCGCAACATTTCTGTGTTCCCGACCGGGGGGGTCGACAACATTCGAAAAGATACCGCGCCGCGCATTTCAGTTGGTCTTATCGTGATTTTTGACACTGCGGTGCCTGGCTTGTGTGTGTGCGTGATCCTTGCGAAGGGCTTTCGCGTCACGGTGCTCCATTACAAAGTGGTGATTGACCGAAGACGACCAGTGAAGCATCTGATATCACTTGCGGGTTTGGTGACGTGGCTGCGTTCTAGTGGCACGATCATCCTTCGGAGCTCCCCACTGTTTGGATGTGAACGGTAAACTGAGCGGACGTGCGCACGAAGCTGATGCTTTGTCACGTTCGTCAGTGGCAAAAACAGGTTCAGTCTGAGTGTCAGAAGATGCTCATAATGAGTCGTTCACGATCATTACAACCATTTGTTAACGTAATATAATTCACATCAGAATACTTGTAGCATAACTATTGCCGCAAGTGCTGCAATGCCATGGACTTTTAGATGCTCCACGCATCGAGTACATTTCCTTCATGAGCGGCGATCAATGGCTCAGATACGCTAGCCACCATCAGTGAGCCGCAAAAAGGGCATTCACTGGCAATTGCTTCGTCTAGCTGCAGCCGCACCTTATCGATTGGTGACAGTCCCGCATGAATGTCCACCATGTCACTATCCGTCCCTCCTCCTGTCCCTCCTGCTATTCCTCCTGCTTCTGTTCCTCTTTGCCTGTTTGGCCGCCTTGGGGACTCCAGAACTCCCAGCAGCTGCCGCTTCAATTCCAATACATGCTCCATCTGGTTGCGTTGCGGGTGTGTGGGGGCGGGTTTGGGGGTTGGGAGTGGGGGGGGAGAGGGGAGGAGATGTGCATACAGAAAAGTAGGGGAATGGGTTGAGTCTGAGGGAAGAGACTGTCTCACTCCCAGCAGCTGCCGGTTCAACTCCAATACACGCTCCATCTAACGGACTTGTGGCTTGGGGGAGGGGGAGGGGGAGGGGGAGGGGGAGGGGGAGGGGGAGGGGGAGGGGGAGGGGGAGGGGGAGGGGGAGGGGGAGGGGGGGGAGGGGGAGGGGGAGGGGGAGGGGGAGCGGGAGGGGGAGGGGGAGGGGGAGGGGGAGGGGGAGGGGGAGGGGGAGGGGGAGAAGGGGGGACACACTGAAAGTGGGGACATTGGGGAGGACGAGGGACGAGGTTGTTTCATGGTGTCACGCTCCCAGCAGCTGCCTCTTCAGTTCCACCCATCCCCCTCTTCAGTTCCAATACGTGCTCCATCTGGTTGAGTTGTGAGGGGGATGGGAGGGGGTTGTCGATGTAATCAACTATGACAGCGATCTTACCAGAAAGGGATCAGAGTGCTGAACGACGTGGGTGAGCAGGCAGTCGATGTGGAACGCATGGGAGCATGGGAACACGTAGAAGGGCGTTGTCTCTGCTGCTGCTGATGATGACGCCAAATTTGCCGTTGCTGTCGCTCCTGCTGCTGCAATAACAGCACCACCAGCACCACCACCAGCGGAACCAGCAGGGGCAGATAAAAGCGTTCTTTGGGGTGGCGGGATGGCAAGAATCAGACGAGAGCAGACGCCGCAGGTTTCTGTCGTGGACACGATGACATGGCGTTGACTCAGCGCCTGGATGTCCCTCCGAATCGTGTTTGCCGCCCGGGTTGCGTCGGTCATTTCGGCTTTTAGCCTGTCGATCTCTTGCCCATATGCCTCCAGAGACTCGCACACTGCGTCTTTAAAGTCGTCAATTAAGGTGAAGTCTGGGAAGAAAGGGAGTATGTCCTCTATTTTGAGCAAACCCTCGGTCTCTTTTAGAAGGCCGATGGCTCTCCTGACATTCTGCCTCATCTCACTCTCCTCCTCATCCCCCTCCTCGTTCCCCTCCCTATTCTCCTCCTCATTCCCTTCCTCCTTCACACTTCCCTCCTCAGCCGCCCCTCCCTCCCTCTCACCCTCCCTTGTATCCTCTCCGCCAATCACGGCCCTGCCTGCCAGCCCCTGCTCGATGACGTGGCGAGCTATCATTAGCCAGAGGGACCGCTTCAGATCCTGCTCTCGCACCTTATTGGCCTCCCTCTTTGCCAATGCCACGTCGATCTGCAGGGCTAGGGCTACTGCCTCTTGGTGCATCCCTAGGGTGCTGTAGACGCACACGCACCCCCGCATCCTCCTTCGCTCTAGGCACACCCGCAGGGCAAACTTGGGGTCGTAGACTACTCCCCTTGCTGCTGCTCCTGCTGCTCCGCCTCCCCCTCCTCTTCCTCCCGCTTCTCCACTATTATTCCCCCCTCCAGCAGCAGCTGGGCTTGGAGAGAGGTTCAGAGCGGTGCCGGTGGGTGTGAGGGAGGGGGAGCGGCCTGCTGCCCCCACTGCTGCTGCAGCAGCAGAGGGGGAGGAGGAGGAGGAGAAGGAGGAGGAGGAGGGGATAGCGGAAAAGGAGGGGGGGGAGGAGAGGAGGAGAGTGTGCGGTGGCGGGGGTGGGGGGATCCAGGAGAGAAAGCTCACAAGGGATGTCTCGTTGCTCTGGTCGGCGTAGAGGGACAGGAGCAGGTTGTGGATGGCAGGATCCCTGGATCCCAGCGAGTGCACACAGTACTCCAGAAAGCGGACGGCCTCGTTCGGCTGGTTGCTGCTGCCAGTTGTTGCGACAGCTGTAGCAGTTGTAGCAGCTGTAGCTGCCATAGCGGCTGTAGTGGCTGTAGCAGCTGAGGTGGCTGTAGCAGCTGAGGTGGCTGTAGCAGCTGAGGTGGCTGTAGCAGCTGTAGCACAGCGCATGATGGCTGGGATGAGTCGACGCGGGTCAAAGCTACCAGCAGCAGCAGCAGCCGCAGCAGCAGCAGCAGCAGAAGCAGCAGATGTAGAAGCGCTAGCAGACGCAGACATTATCCAGAGGTCAACAGTCTTGGAGGGGGCGAGGAGAACGAGGGCTGGCGAGAACTTGTACTGGCAGAAGGTTCGGGAGAAAACCAAACAAAAAGAGGGAGGCAGCGGAGGGCAGAGGAGGGAAGAGGAGGGAAGAGGAGGGCAGAGCAGCGTGAGTGTGCAGGGTTTTGAATTGAAGTGACCAGAATAGTGGCAGCAGGATGATTTTAAACGCAAACAGTATCCGAGACCAGCAAAGTGTGATACTACTGTGAGACTAGTGTCATACTGCTGTGAGGCTTGTGATAGTGACTGGAGCGAGGGGGGGGACTCTACCAGGAGCTCAAGAGGCACCGATGGTCGACGCAACACGGCGATTGCTGAGTCAGCATCTCCTTGCTGAGGTGGCACGACCACGTTGGATTGCACGTTCATGTGGGATGCAGAGAGAACCGGGCAGGGGGTGGGTATGTTGGACTTAAATTGGACGACATAAAATGGGAACCAACTGACGAGATGGGGTATGCTCGTAATTTCTTGAGATTTCTCAAAAACAACCTAGAAATATGAGTCTGGCAACAGCTCTAGAACACTTAGAAACATGAGCCTGAAAAAGGCGAAGCTCTACAAAGCGCGCATGCATGAGACTAGTACAGCAGCTTCAAAAGAGAATGGTGAAGCAGATCGAAGTCATTTTTGGGAATTCTACAAAAATGACTCGATCTGATCTGAGTACGATGCACACAGACACATACCCGGATGAAGTGTTCGAGGACCGTCTCGTGGCGCTGCTTCAGCCCTGCAAAGAACACCAGCTCCTCCTCCCGGCCATAGCTGCGGAACAGCGTATGCAAGCAACAGGTGGTAGAACAAGTCAGCACAGGTCAACGCTGGTCAACAACAGGTGCCCTGCTTCAATCCCGCAAAGAACACCAGCTCCTCCTCCCGGAAGCAGCTGGGAAAAGAGCGCACACGCACGCACACCTGAACCATTCGGCACAGGTTGGACCAAAGAGCGCACACGCACAGTCAGGTGCCGCATGGTTTATTCCAACCCATGTCACGACCACCGGCCGCCTCTCCCGGCAATGATTGGGCAGACGACTCATGCCTGAGGAATCTATTTTTGAGGCGCCTCAAAAATAGACTCCCCGTGTCAAGAGCACCAGCGTGGCAGCATACCATTCCCGCAATAATTGGGTAGACGACTCATGCAACGACCAGTACAGGCATCTACAGGCGTCCACAGGCAGCCACAGTCAACATGGGTCAACACCGGTCAACACAGGTCAACACCGCCCCTCACGCACCTAGCCAGGAGTTTGACTGTGGTTGCCTCGTTGAGTACATCCTTACAATCGGTGAGGAACGCTCTAAACTCCTCCACCACACTATCATACTCTGTCCTTAACCCTTCCACTCCTTCCCTCCTTCCCTCCACCCTCCCGTTCGTCTCCGCCCCCCCTGCAGCTGAATCAACTGCCTCTTTATTTCCAGCAGCAGCAGGTGATGGCTCCCCTCTGTGCTCCTTCTGTGCCACAGGCTTGTCTTGAACAGGCTGCTGCCTTTCATCGTCAGGCGGCAGCTGAAGCAGCAGCCTGTTGATCTGCCACGGGTTGCAGGGGGAATGGAGGGAGGATGTAGAGAGGATGGAGGGGAGGGAGAAAAACGAAAGAGGAGGGGGGGGGGGAGGAACGAGTAAACTTCCCTTGCACAAGGAGTACAGACAAAACAAAGTGCCTCAATCGGTACTAGTTTTCATTCCCTAGTGGGTTCAAATGCATTTAAGAAGTCTCGGGAATACTCAGAAATCTCTCACAAAAACTGATAGAGCACCAAAAAAGTACCTTGTCGAGGTAGAGCTCTGACGCCCATGTTGCGACCATGGTCACTTGCGCTCGCTCCTGCTTGGGGATGTGGTCCAGCTTGTGCAGAAGGAAGCTCCGGAGTGCGTCCTGCTGCCCCGCCTCCACGAATTTGAGCGCCACCTCCTCGAATGGCACTTGGTGGGCCGTCTGAGAGATGGAGGACGGGGGGCGAAGGGAAGGGCGGTTGGCCAAGTTGCTGGCGGTGGGCACTAAGTAAGAAGGGCATCCTGCTGCCCCGCCTCCACGAAGGGCACCTGATGGGCCGCCTGGTGGAGAAGTGGAAAGGGACAAGTGTGTATGTGTGGTGGAAAGGGTGTGTCCTGCTGCCCCGCCTCCACGAACTTGACCGCCACCTCCTCAAAGGGCACCAGGTGGGCCGTCTGGTGGGGGGAAAGGGGTTGGTGGTAGGGGCGGGTGGTGGCGGGCATTGGTTGTGGACAAGAAATGGCACAGAGCATCTTGCTGCCCCGCCTCCACGAACTTGAGCGCCACCTCCTCAAATGGCACCTAATGTGCCGTCTGATGTGTGTGTGGGGGGAGGGGGGGAGAGGGGGAAAGGTGGGGGTGGGAGGGGGAGGGGGGGAGAGGGGGGGGAAAGGTGGGGGTGGGAGGGGGAGGGGGGTAAGAGATGGAGAGGTGCGTCCTGCTGCCCTGCCTCCACGAACTTGAGCGCCACCTCCTCGAATGGTAGCTCATGGGCCGTTTGGTGGAGGAGGAGAACACAGACAAGTGTGCATGGGAGGAGGGAAGGGCGGTTTGTCAAGCTGCTTACGGTGGGCACTAAGAGGTGCACCTGCACCCTGCTGCGGCTGCCCCACCTCCATGAACTTGAGAGCCACCTCCTCGAATGGCACCTCATGGGCTGCCTGATCTGACGCAGGGGAAAGAGGGGGTGCTGGTGGCTGAGGAAAGTGCTTTTCTAGCTGTCTGAAGGGAAATATCTGACTTTTTAGAATTCTCAAAGATGCCTGTTGGGATCGGGGAGATAGGGGGTAGGGGAGATGTGGGGGGGGGGAGAAGGGGGGAGAGGGGGGGGGGGGGGAAGGGGAGAGTGGGAGCCTGGGAGGTGGGTGGAAGATAGAGTGGAGCGGAGCAGCCAGTTGGACCACCTCCACATATTTAAAAGTACTTGTTTTGCTGTTGAAGGGGAAAACAAATCCTTGTGCATTGAAAAACGGGAGGCGCGCGAATTAATGAATGCATACCTTGGCATGCGGCATCCACCAGCTCCAAATAATACACACACTCGCAGATGAGTCTATTCTTGAGGCGCCTCAAAAATAGACCTTGGCAAGTGACATCCACCAGCTCCAAATAATACACACACTCGCAGATCATCGCACAAAGCTCACCCGCGCAAAGAAGGTGGCAGCGTGCTCATAGTCTTCATCCTTGAATGCAGACTCGGCTTGGGCAGCATACACCCTGTCCCGCTGCACACGTGAGATCATGCCTGCCTGTCCAGACCAAACTCGGTGCATGCTTTAGAAACTCACCCGTGCAAAGAAGGTGGCAGCGCGCTCATAGTCCCCATCCTTGAATGCTGACTCTGCCTGGGCCGCATACACCCTGTCTCGCTGCACCGGCGAACGGCAGAAGGCCAGAGCCATGGCGTAGTCGTGCCTGTCCAGATACACCTGCCACATGGCCCTCCCTTCGTCACATACAGCGATCTGGTTATGTGTGGGGGGGGAGGACAGAATAAAGGGTGGAAAACTACAAGAGAACATAACATAGGCATGTGCCAATGCCAACGTAGCATACTTCCGATATTTGTATGAGTATGAATTGTGTAAAAATAGCTTCACACATACCTCTGATCAAACATACATACTGCAAAACGTGATCTCACACACGTATTATTCCTCCACTGTATCTCACTGTATCTCACTTATCTTACAGTATCTCTCATTACATCACCCCCGCACCTCATAGATGTTGTCGCATGCTTACCTCATAGAACGTACATATTTATACATATGTACATATATGTATGTATGTATGTATGTATGTATGTATGTATGTATGTATGTATGTATGTATGTATGTATGTATGTATGTATGTATGTATGTGTGTGTGTGTGTGTGTGTGTGTGTGTGTGTGTGTGTGTGTGTGTGTGTGTGTGTATGTACGTATGTATGTATGTATGTATGTATGTATGTATGTATGTATGTATGTACGTATGTACGTATGTACATGTATGTATGATGTATCTCCTGTGCGCACCTCATATATGTTGTTGGCACAGAAAGCATAGTAGGCGGAGGCGACCTCATCAGCGACCAATCCGAGCATGCCACCTGGCGCCATCTCAAGAGCCGTGGCGTGCAGGGGCAGCTGATCCACGAGGGACTCGCTCACTTGGTTCACGACCTGGAAAGGGGGGGCGAGAGTGTGATAGAAAGGGGGGGGGGAGAGGGGGTGATAGGTTGGGGGACACAGGGAAGGGCGAGATGATGAAGGTGCGTGTGGTAGCAGGGAGGCCAACGGCGTGCAAAGGCAGCTGATCCACGAGGGAATCGTTCACTCGGTTCACGACCTGTAGACGGGGGGTGAGATGTGCACAGGGGGGTGAAGAAGGGGGGGGGCGATAGGTTGGGGGGGACAGGGAACGACAATGTGTGTGGTAGCAGGGAGGCCAATGGCGTGCAGGGGCAGCTAATCCACCAGCGGCTCGCTCGCTTGGTGCACGGTCTGGAGAGTGGTGATGGAAGTCTAGTTTTGAGGCGCCTCAAAACGGCCTGGAGAGTGGGGACGGAACGGAGGGAGGAGGGGTTAAAGGTTTAGATTCTGTGAAAAGGTCTTTCGCATGCCCTTTTACAATGCGTGAATCTGAACTGAGGGGTGAACCCAGAAGTAAAGGGCAGAGCCATGGCATGCAGGGGCAGCTGATCCGCGAGCACAGCAATAGCAATAGCAATAGCAGTAGCAGTAGCAATAGCAATAGCAATAGCAATAGCAATAGCAATAGCAATAGCAATGGGATGCACGGGCGTAGCAGCAGCACTGTCACTTCCTTCCCCCAGTGCCGTGCCGCCCCCTTCACTAAGAGAAACAGCTCACCTTGATGTGGTCTTCACCGAGCAGCAGGAAAGGGAACTCCGAGACTCCCATAGCAATGGGATGCACGGGCACAGCAGCAGCAGCAGCACTGGGTGGGGATAGCTTGGCGTGGGGCAAGACAGGGCAGCAGGGCACCACTCACCTTGATGTGATCGCCATAGAGCAGCAGGAAGTGGAATGCCGAGACTGCCATAGCAATGGGATTCACAGGCGCACTGTCACTCCCACCAGTGCCGCCCCCCTCACAAACAACGTTCGGCATGCGGCAAGAGACACCACTCACCTTGATGTGATCGCCATAGTGCAGCAGGAAGTGGAACTCTGAGACTGCCATAGCAATGGGATGCACAGGCGCACTGTCACTCCCACCAGTGCCGCCCCCCTCATAAACACCGTTCGGCATGCGGCAAGAGACACCACTCACCTTGATGTGATCGCCATAGAGCAGCAGGAAGTGGAACTCCGAGACTGCCATAGCAATGGGATGCACAGGCGCAGCAGCATCGGCAGCAGCATCGCCATCATCAGCGTCATCGCTCCTACTGACGGGGCCGGGAGGGAGCAGCTTGGCGTAGGGCAGCAGGGACTTGCGCTGGACGGGGGGCTCAGATGAGGAGCCCGAGGGGAGACTGGAGGGGGGGAGAGAGGAGGAGACGGGGAAAGCCAGGGTCACTGAAAGGCAATTAGGGCATCATCGAAGGGAGGGAGAGACGGGCACGGAAATCAAGGAGGGAGAAAACTAGGATCAGAGGAAAGGAAAGGTCAGGGTTTTTGCTTGAGAAGAACCAGGCGCCAAAGCCCAGGTTCAGCCAGGTGCACGAACCGGGAAGTCTCACCCGGGGGAGGGAGGTCACCTTTGCGCCTAACGAATCTGGAGGAGGTCTCAACTGGGGAAGGTCTCACCTGGTGGGGGCAGCGTTGAGGTTGAGGTGGCCGAAACGATACGCCAGGGCCTGCCACCCATGGGTTCTAACACATCTCAGATTCCTATCAAAAGGTGTCACCTGGAGCAGGTCTCACCTGGGGACGGTAATACCCGGGGAAGGTTTCACCTGGAGGCGGCGGCGTTGAGGTTGAGGTGGCCGTAGAGAACACCAGGCCCTGCCATCCACGCGAACCTCTCTGCGTAGCGCTGCTTGCGGCCGAAGAAATGCAGTGAGCTGTAGAGTGGTAAGGGGAGGTGAGGGAGAGGGGAGAGGGAGGTGAGTGAGAGGGAGGGGAGTGGGAGGTGAGAAGGAGGTGAGAAGGAGGGGAGAAGGAGGGGAGAGGTAGATGAAAGGGAGGGGAGAGGGAGAGGAAAGGGAGGTGAGAGGGAGGTGAGAGGGAGGGGAAAGGGAGGGCAGAGGAGGGCAGTGCGAGGGGGGAGGGAGGGCAGAGGAGGGCAGTGGGAGGGGGGAGGGAGGGCAGAGGGAGAGGGGCGGTTAGCAGTGCAGAGCCAACTGCAGGTCAAGGTGCCGTGATGGCGAGACGAGAGGGGAGCAGACGAGCAGGAGAGTACCTAGTAGTAGAAGAACACTTGCCTTACTTTCCTTGGCATAAGCCGTGCTTTCCCCAAGTAACCCTTCTGTACCTTGCTATGAGTGGGGAGGATGCTGGAAGCTCGATGAACTTGGGAAGCTGAGAAGCAAAGGGCGCAAAGGTAGCCTGCAGGGTGTGGGGCGAGAGAGAGAGGGTGAATGAATGCAGAGAGAGAGGCATCAAGTGTATCACGCAAGAAGCAAAGGGCGCAAAGGTAGCCTGCAGGGTGTGGGGCGAGAGGGGAATCGAGTGGAGCAAGCAAGCAAGCGAAGGGAGGACAATCGGAAGAATAGAAAGAAGCCTCCTGTGGACGCCTCAAGAATAAGATTGGACGAATAGGAAAGGACAGACGGACCAAAGGAGGAAAGTAGACACACAAATTAAACCAAAGGGGGAAAGTAAACACAGAAATTAAACCAAAGGGGGAAAGTAAACATAGAAATTAAACCAAAAGGGGAAAGTAAACACAGAAATTAAACCAAAGGGGGAAAGTAAACACAGAAATTAAACCAAAAGGGGAAATTAAGCACAGAGACAGAAATGGATGAGAGGAAAGCGACCTGACAAACGACCCTCCTACAGCCTCACTAACCTAGAGCGGCGTCGACCTGACAAAGGCAAAGAGACGCGTGAGGCAAGTCGACGTCCCTCAAGGTTAGTGAGGACGAAGAAAGTGACCCGTGACTCCGCCAACCTACCGTCCTGCTGACTGACCCACTCACCTCAAGAGAAGTTGACCCGACAAAGGCAAGGAGGCGTGTGGCAGTGGCTGCCATCACGAAGAAACGCTGAGATGAGCCCGGCCCAGTTGAGCCTCCCCCAGGTGTGCCCACCCCTGCTGCTCCTCCTCCACCAGATAAGCCTCCCCCTGACGAGCCTCCCCCATGCAAGCCCAGCACCTCCATCTGTGGTTACATGGAGTGATGCAGGGAGGAGAGGCTAGGGGGGTTCAAAGAGGGAGAGGGCGGGAAGGGGCGAGACGAGGGGACCGGAGGAATCCATCCAGAAGAGCTAGGCAGGCAGGATGTCCTCTTCGAAGGGGGGGGGGTCGAAAGGGGGGTGGCCGGGGGGAGAAGAAAAGAAAAGGGGGGTGGAAAGAGAGTGGGAAGGAGGTCGGACCTGGAGGAGGTCTGATCTGGAGGAGGTCTGACCTGGATACCACGGAAGGGGCTCTTTTCGGTGTCAGGCAGCTCAAACAGCAGCTTCAACGGGCGGTCTCGCTTGTCTGCTTCCTCGAACGCTGCCTCATAGAGTCTTCCCCCCTCAGTGGCTAGAATGATCTCTCGGGTGCTCCCTGTGGTGAATGGGTGGTGGATGGAGATGGCGGGTGGGTGGTGCATGAGTAGCCATGGGTGGTGCATGAATAGCCATGGGTGGTGCGTGAATAGCCATGGTTGGTACACAAAAGACCATCACGCACCATGCATAAAACTCATACCACATACATACCATCATGTGTCATGAGACACAAACCATCATGCGTCATGAGACACAAACCATCATGCGCCATGAGACACAAACCATCATGCGCCATGAGACACAAACCTTCATGCGCCATGAGACACAAACCTTCATGCGCCATGTGTGCGGGTTGCCATGCCACGGCCGCCACAGCACCAATCGCCATGCGGTGGCGCGCCACGTGCCGGGCGCGCTGCCAGCTGCCATGCACATACACCACGTCCCAGTACGTCCCCCCTGCATACATTGACGCCACTGACACCGCCGCCATCCCACTCCCATTCCCGCTGCCGCCGCCACCACAAGCAGCAGCAGCACCAGTAGCGCCAGCAGCAGCAGCAGCAGTGGAGGGTCGAGGGGCATGGGGTGCGCCGAGAGGCGTGTGCTGGAGAACAGCCAGCGTGTGGCGGCCGCCCGGGTCCACAAAGACGTTCTTCACGTGGATGCGGTACGAGCCGTTGATGGGGGACGGGGAGGAGGAGAAGGGGGATGGGGAGGAGGTGTCTGGGGGGATATAGGCTGCGAGGTTGATCTCTGTAGGAGAGGGGAGGGGGGGAGGGAGGGACAGCACAAACATACAGTTTCACATAGAAGAGGAGTTTCGACCGCAGCAGGCCTATCGGATGTCGCGTATAGTACTAGGGTGCTAGAGTGCTAGAGTTCTAGAGTGCTAGAGTTCTAGAGTTCTAGGGGCGGGTAGAAATCGGAAAAACGGGCAAGAATCGAGGACACATAGTCCACTGGTAATTCTGAGGCGTACGCGCGTTTCGGCCTTAGCCTTCATCAGCGCCCTCTCAGTTTTACAAGAACGACTATCAAACCCCTTTTCTACCCTCTAGATCCGTGTTCTACACTTCAACCCCGAAAATCCCCAGGTCCTAACCCATAAAGCGGTCCTGCAGCTATTTATCTAGCTGGGTACCCTTGAAACTATCCATCCAGAGCACCACAAAGGGTGAGTGCGGTCTGCCAATTGTACAACCAGCTGGCTCGCCCAAATTGAGCCGAGAAAACAATTGAGAAAACGATTCATCTACCTTGTAGTAGGTGAATCCGCGTTAGAAAAACGCGCTCTTACCAAAAAGTTGTGTAACCGTTTTGGTAAACTCGAACCGATAACGAAGCGAGGGAGTTAAAGTCCATGTGAGAGATTTTTGAGAACTCCCTAAAAAATCTCTCACTTTTTTTAGAATTCTAAAAAAACTCTCGGATGGGGTTGGGAATGGGGATGGGGATGAGTCTGGCGGGATGTGGGTTGTGATGGGATGATGATCTCTGCACGAGAGGGGGGGAGGGAGGGGGGCGGAAAGGGGGGTGGGGGTGGGGAAGGGTGGGGACATCACAAAGCCACTCTTCATCTGGATGCGAAACGAGCCGTTGATGGTGATGGCCAATGCCACGTCAGCCACCCCACCTGCCAGCTCATCGTTGAGGAAGTCGTATCGCACGAGCCACCCGTCAGACGTCCCCACGGCCACCACCGAGTTTCCCGCCGCGCCGCACGTGATCCGCCCATGGCCTAGAGCCGCCTGGGCTTTAAGAACCTCTACGCTGAATAACGGCTCGTTGGGGTCGAACCGCTGCTGACGTGGCTCCTGCTGACGTGGATTCTGCTGCTCCTGCTCCTCTTCCTGAGCCGGACGGGTGCGGAGGGAGGGGGGAGTTGGGGGGAGAGGGGTGGTGGGTGGTGGTGAGGCACGAGAAGCGGTGAAGCGCGGTGAGGAATGGTGAGGAATGGTGAGGAATGGTGGGGAGGGGTGAAAGGCACTTGGAACGTGAAGACCGGAGGGTACTTGGTGAGGGGTGCGGGGAAGGCGGAAGAGCGAGGAAGGTTACCAGCTTGGCACGGATACCAGCTTAATATGGGTACCAGCTAACACACTTGTCAGTCTAGCACGGTTATCAGTAAACCGGGCGAAGTTAGAGCCTTCCAATCGAGTCGCACGACCTACCCCGCCGTATCCTCGGTACCCATACTGCCCGCCGTAACTCCCGGCGGGATTCCCGCCATAGTTCCCGTCTACGACCCTCTCCCGCTCATCCTCCCAGTCGTCCAGCATCTTGCCGCGCGTAAATCCGGGCCGCGACAGAGCTAAGAGAAACCAACGACTATTATATGTACATAGTGCCGCTTGTTGTTGGCTGGTCCCTGGCCTGTGCTATTGGGTTGCGATGGGGGGAATGGAATGGTCGGAGATCCCTCTGGGCATGACGAATGACAAAAAGAAACTAAGTGAGTGGAATTTCGACGAGAGTCATGACTCCCAGAGCGTTGCAGTGCGATACAGAACGTTAAACAAATTTTACTAAATATTGTTTTTATTAAATCCTATCGAAGTACCAGCCGCCCTAGCTCAGTTGGTAGAGCGCAAGGCTCTTAACCTTGTGGTCGTGGGTTCGAGCCCCACGGGCGGCGTAGCCCTCAAGAACCCGTGTGTTTTGTCTGCGTGTTTTTTCTCCCACTACCTCCCGCAACAGTCCCCGTCCAAATTCCACTTGAATTTGTTCGGTACCTCCATTCGTCAGCAAAAGAACGGTTCCAGCGCCTTTCCCGCCGCTCTTTCCGCGGCCCCTCGATTCCAACCTAAACCGTGTTTCCCCCGCCCCCGCACCCCGCGCCCTGCCGCAGCAAAATGGCGTTTTCCTCTTCTCTCGCGCTTTCGCCGCCGCTTTCTCGCACCGCGCTAATGCCGGCCGCACTGTCACGCCCCTCTCGCAGCAAATCCCGCCCTGGCTCTTCCAATAGCGTGGCTACACGGGGCATGTCGTCCTCTTCCTGCCTCTATCAGCGTGGCGCGCCGCTGACGCGGACAGCGCCGTTGGATAGTATGGGTCCAGTTCGGTCCACGTGGCGCCAAGTCAGCAGAAGACGAGCCGCGGTCGTGGTCGCGGCAGTGGGAGGGGACATGCGCGCTTCGTCATTCGCTAAGGAGATGGAGCGAGTTGCGGCTAAGGAGGCACTGCTCCTCGCTGTACGCGTTATACGCTTTTTGTCCGTTATAGGCGCTGTAGTAATCCGTTCTCCCTTGCCGCGCAATATCAGTACCCACATTCTACGCGTTTAAGCATCTTCACTGGGTATAATCGCGGTCGCTATACGCATATAATAAAGGCCCTGGGACCCCCATTCTCACAGATTAGCGACAGGGGGGTGAGGGAAGGGAAGGGGGGGGGGGCGGGGGGAGGGTGGGGGGGGGGGGGTGGGGGGGTGGGCTGTTGTGTTGGGCTGAGTCCTTGTCAACGGGGCAGGGCAACGCGAACTAGTACAAGCGTGCTCTAATTCTACCCCCACACCCCCCCACCTCCCCCTTATTGCTTTCTTCCCCCTCTCGGCCCAGATTAAAGACGCGGGCGGCGTGGAGTCCCTATCCACAGGGCAGGGCAACGCGGCGGGGAGAATCCAGGTGTCGGAGAGAGTGGTGGCTCTGGAGCGACTCAACCCCACCACTCGCCCCACCAGGTGCGCGTTGGTTGGTGGCCCCTACCTTAAGTAACCAGCAGTAGGGTTACCACAGCCAGCAAGCACCACATGCTATGCGGCGGGGCGAATCCAGGTGTCGGATCGGGTGGTGGCTCTGGAGCGTCACAACCCCACCACTCAGCCCACCAGGTGCGTCAATAGGGTTACCACAGCAGCAGTAGGGTTACCACAGGGCAACGCTGCAGGGCTAATCCAGGTGTCGGAGCGGGTGGTGGCTGTGGATGGACTCAACCCCACCACCAGACCCACCAGGAGCGTCGGTGGGTTTACCACAAGAAGCAGTGGGGTCACCTCACCACCACATGGCAATGCAGAGGGGGATGACGCTGGAGCTAGGGGGGAGCAAGGGTGATGACGCTGGAGCTAGGGGGGAGCAAGGGTGATGACGCTGGAGCTAGGGGGGAGCAAGGGTGATGACGCTGGAGCTAGGGGGGAGCAAGGGTGATGACGCTGGAGCTAGGGGGGAGCAAGGGTGATGACGCTGGAGCTAGGGGGGAGCAAGGGTGATGACGCTGGAGCTAGGGGGGAGCAAGGGTGATGACGCTGGAGCTAGGGGGGAGCAAGGGTGATGACGCTGGAGCTAGGGGGGAGCAAGGGTGATGACGCTGGAGCTAGGGGGGAGCAAGGGTGATGACGCTGGAGCTAGGGGGGAGCAAGGGTGATGACGCTGGAGCTAGGGGGGAGCAAGGGTGATGACGCTGGAGCTAGGGGGGAGCAAGGGTGATGACGCTGGAGCTAGGGGGGAGCAAGGGTGATGACGCTGGAGCTAGGGGGGAGCAAGGGTGATGACGCTGGAGCTAGGGGGGAGCAAGGGTGATGACGCTGGAGCTAGGGGGGAGCAAGGGTGATGACGCTGGAGCTAGGGGGGAGCAAGGGTGATGACGCTGGAGCTAGGGGGGAGCAAGGGTGATGACGCTGGAGCTAGGGGGGAGCAAGGGTGATGACGCTGGAGCTAGGGGGGAGCAAGGGTGATGACGCTGGAGCTAGGGGGGAGCAAGGGTGATGACGCTGGAGCTAGGGGGGAGCAAGGGTGATGACGCTGGAGCTAGGGGGGAGCAAGGGTGATGACGCTGGAGCTAGGGGGGAGCAAGGGTGATGACGCTGGAGCTAGGGGGGAGCAAGGGTGATGACGCTGGAGCTAGGGGGGAGCAAGGGTGATGACGCTGGAGCTAGGGGGGAGCAAGGGTGATGACGCTGGAGCTAGGGGGGAGCAAGGGTGATGACGCTGGAGCTAGGGGGGAGCAAGGGTGATGACGCTGGAGCTAGGGGGGAGCAAGGGTGATGACGCTGGAGCTAGGGGGGAGCAAGGGTGATGACGCTGGAGCTAGGGGGGAGCAAGGGTGATGACGCTGGAGCTAGGGGGGAGCAAGGGTGATGACGCTGGAGCTAGGGGGGAGCAAGGGTGATGACGCTGGAGCTAGGGGGGAGCAAGGGTGATGACGCTGGAGCTAGGGGGGAGCAAGGGTGATGACGCTGGAGCTAGGGGGGAGCAAGGGTGATGACGCTGGAGCTAGGGGGGAGCAAGGGTGATGACGCTGGAGCTAGGGGGGAGCAAGGGTGATGACGCTGGAGCTAGGGGGAGCAAGGGTGATGACGCTGGAGCTAGGGGGGAGCAAGGGTGATGACGCTGGAGCTAGGGGGGAGCAAGGGTGATGACGCTGGAGCTAGGGGGGAGCAAGGGTGATGACGCTGGAGCTAGGGGGGAGCAAGGGTGATGACGCTGGAGCTAGGGGGGAGCAAGGGTGATGACGCTGGAGCTAGGGGGGAGCAAGGGTGATGACGCTGGAGCTAGGGGGGAGCAAGGGTGATGACGCTGGAGCTAGGGGGGAGCAAGGGTGATGACGCTGGAGCTAGTAGGGGGGGAGCAAGGGTGATGACGCTGGAGCTAGGGGGGAGCAAGGGTGATGACGCTGGAGCTAGTCAGGTTCAACCCCACCACTCCGCCCGCCAGTTGCGTTTCTGCTGCTGCCAGATGCTACAGCCCACGCCCCACCACACACGCCCTGCTGCTGCCAGATGCTACAGCCCACCACACACGCCCTGCTGCTGCTCTTCCTTCAATTTCTCCCTCTTGTTCCCCCTTGCCCCTCCAAAATCCCCCTTGCCCCTCCAAAATCCTCCCCCTCTCCTTCTCTCTTGCCCTCTCCCTCCCTCCCCACCCCCCCCCTTCGCCTGTTCTCAGCTCGCCCCTCCTGGAAGGCTACTGGGACTTTGTGTGGGCGGGCGCACGGAGCCCGGGACTCGTTGCCGCCCGCCTTGTGCTACAGTGAGTTGCTGCCGCCCGCCTTATGCTACAGTGAGTCACTGCCGCCCGTCTTGTGGAGCTGTGAGTTCACTGTGCTGCTTTGCCTGTAGTACAGATGTCTGTAACACGGATGCCTGTAACACTGTATTACGAACATCCTGTAACACGGATATTTGTAACATGGACATATTGGTAGGGAATTGCTTTGTGGGTGGGGACAAAACCCGATCCAACCCTCACATGGTCGACATCTCCCCCACACCCACAGGCGCCTCCCCCCCCAGGTGGTGGCGTTGGAAGCCCTTCAGCTGCACACCATGTGTGTGTGGCGCCTCAAACAGAACCCCTCAGTCTCCCTCCTCTGGCCGCCTCTACCTGCCACCTTCAGGCGTCTCCCCCCTCAGGTGGTCTCGCTGGAAGCCCTTCAGCTGCACATTATGGCTGGCACCATCACCGCCACAGCTGTCATCCGATTCCTCAATTCAGTAAGTATGGGCTGATGGTGCATGCAGGGCACTTGGCTGATGGTGCATGCAGGGCACTTGGGTATGTATGCTGTGCTATGTATGGGTGAATTGAAGGCCCTTCGGCTGCACATCGTGGCCGGCACCATCACCGCCACGGCCGTCATCCGATTCCTCAATGCGGTACGATGCGGTATGGATGGGTTGTGGCATGGGCATGTGAGATGCGGTCTGGTGTATGGGCATGTACGCTTGACTTTGGTGGCTGGAAGCCCTTCAGCTGCACATTATTATGGCTGGCACCATGACTGCCGTGATCAGATTCCTCAATGCGATATGTGGTGGGATGGTGTAATTGCAAGTATGCTCAGTGCTGTGTGTGGTGGGATAGGATGGTATGTATGCTGACGGATGGGGTATTTGCATGTATGCCTGATGCTGATTGCTTGACAGGATGCCTGTCAAGATGACATAAGTTGGAGCATGTGACATGGTTGCTTGAACTGTTTTTCCTACCTGCAAATAAACCGCCTTCTGACACTGCGCTCACTGAAGTTATGCGTGAGGAGTCTATTTTTGAGGCGCCTCAAAAGCAGGAGGTATGTCTCATGCTGGTTGCTTGACATGAAGCCCGTCAGCTGCACGTCATAGCCGGCTGGCAGTAGTAAAGGGTAGATTCGACCGCGACAGCCAACGGATCTTAGCTCGTAAGAGAAAATTCCAAGAGTGTGAGTGAATAGCAGGGATTGGGCGAAAGAGGACGTGATAGTCCATCAATTACTGAGCGTACGCGCGTTTCGGCACAGGGCCTTCGTCAGCGCTCTGGTTGCAAGGCCCTCTCCCCCCCTAATCCCTCCTCTCTCCCATCCCCCCCCCATCAGCACAGGGCTTCGTCAGCACTGGGCCTTGCTGGTTGCTTGACATGAAGCCCATCAGCTGCACGTCATAGCCAGCTGGCACCATCCGTCCCTTCCCAACACCACCATTGCAGGCTGAGCCTAACGTCACATCATCATCCTCTT